CTTCGACCGCGTGGTGAAGGCGGCGGTGCCGCCCCAGAGGTGCCACCGGGAGGTGCCACGATTCGGGGACCCCGAGAAGGTGAAGCTGGAGGAGTCGCTGCGCGAGGCCGAGCGGGAAGGGGAGGGGGCCCCGCTCAGCGTCCGCATCAGCAACGTCTGACCGGGGGGAACGGGAGAGGAGGGGGCACCCGGGGAGGGAGGGGGCACCCAGGGATGGAGGTGGCACTGATGGATGGAGGGGGCACCGACAGATGGAGGTGGCACCGAGGGATGGAGGTGACACTGATGGATGGAAGGGACACTGACAGATGGAGGTGACACTGACGGATGGAAATGACACTGATGGATGGAGGTGGCACTGACAGATGGAAATGACACTGATGGATGGAGGTGGCACTGATGGATGGAGGTGACACCGACGGATGGAAATGACACTGATGGATGGAGGTGGCACTGACAGATGGAGGTGGAACCGACCCATGGAGGGGGTACTGATGGATGGAGGTGGCACCGAGAGATGGAGGTGATGCCAGTCCTAGGGTGGCACCAAGGGCTGGAGGTGGCACCGATGGATGGAAGTGACACTTGATAGATGGAGGTGGCACCGAGGGATGGAGGTGCCTGGAAGTGCCACCCCCAAGATGCCACCAGTGCCCCGAGGTGCCACCAAGGCCTGGAAGTGCCACCAGTGCCTCGAGGTGTCACGAGCTCCAAGGTGTCACCAACACCTGCAGGTGTCCCCAACCCAAAAGTGCCACCAGTGCTTGGAAGTGCCACCAGCCCCAAGATGCCACCAGTGCCCAGAAGTGCCACCAAGGCCTGGAAGTGCCACCAAGGCCTGGAGGTGCCACCAGCCTCAAGATGCCACCAGTGCCCTGAGGTGTCACCAGCTCCAAGGTGTCACCAACATCTGCAGGTGTCCCCAACCCTAAAGTGACACGAGTGCCCAGAAGTGCCACCAGCTCCAAGATGCCACCAAGGCCTGAAAGTGTCACCAGCCCCAAGGTGTCACCAACATCTGGAGGTGTCCCCAACCCTAAAGTGCCACCAGTGTCCAGAAGTGCCACCAGCCCCAAGATGCCACCAGTGCCCCAAGATGTCACCAACATCTGGAGGTGTCCCCAACCCTTAAGTGCCACCAGTGCCCAGAAGTGTCACCAGCCCCAAGATGCCACCAGTGCCCCGAGGTGTCACCAAGGCCTGGAAGTGCCACCACTGCCTGGAGGTGTCACCAGTCTCCCAAGGTGTCACCAGCTCCAAGGTGTCACCAACACCTGGAGGTGCCCCCAGCCCCAAGATGCCACCAGTGCCTGGAAGTGCCACCAAGGCCTGGAAGTGTCACCAGCCCCAAGATGCCACCAGTGCCCCGAGGTGCCACCAATGCCTGGAAGTGTCACCAAGGCCTGGAGGTGCCACCAGAGCTGGGAAGTGCCACCAGCTCCAAGATGCCACCTGTGCCCGGAGGTGTCACCAGCCCCAAGGTGTCCCCAAGGTGTCCCCAACCCCAAAGTGACACCAAGGCCTGGAGGTGCCACCAGCCCCAAGATGCCACCAGTGCCCCGAGGTGTCCCCAGCCCCTGGAGGTGTCCCCAGCCCCTCCCCC